ACACAGCACACATCCAACGAACACGGACTCACCTAGTTGTAGCCGTCGATCTTGGCTTGTCGCTGGGCATAGGCCCAGAAGTTCGACTCCACTCTGCGGCGACGAGTCGGCTTCGCAAAGAACTCTTTGTAATGAGTTCTGAGCGTCGCTTCCTGCAGAAGTGGGTCCCGAAGGCAGTCGACGCTGGCGAGCTTCCGGTGCCAGGCTTCCGCGGCGCGGGTTTCGGCCTCCTTGCTGCGGAGGAATGGCGGGTACTCGGGGATCGGGGCCCAGTCGTTGGGCGAGGACGGGCGGGACTCCTTGTCCTCCTCCTCGAAGACCGGGGAGGGGGCGAACGGGCAGCAAAGGAATTGGAGGAACTTGGTGAAACCCATTTCGATGATGGGAAGTTCCGGGGAAAAGAAAGAAGAAGAAGTTGGGGAGTTGCGGTGGTGGGTGGTTGCTAAAAGCGCGGTGAAAGCTAAGAGTTTTGGAAGAGTTGAAATTGCAAGAGCAAGAGCAAGAGCTTCACAAGAAACAGAGAAGATAGACTGGAGTACCGAAGTGCAGAAGTGTAAATCTCGATGGTGAAGAAAGAAAGCTGGGAGAAGGTCACCCTTATATAGGAATTCCAGCTCCCTAGGTCTGATCCAGCTCCTTAGGTCTGATTGCGCGATGTAGCCATCATTGTGTATTTTTTTCGTCGACTAGCAGATAGTGCTATGATTTTTCCTTAGTGGTTGATGATCTTTGGCTCCTCTCCTTTCGTTAGTCGGTGGCAGGCCTCGCTAGCCAGCCCTACGCGCTAAAAATTCTCCGCGCTACGGGCCGAACGAGGGGCCGAACCGCTATGCACGTGTATCTTTGTCTACATAATGCATTGTTCGCTTGAGTTGATCTTTAGCTTCACCAGATAGCGTGATCAGCGTGATGAATTTAATTTTTTTTGGCAAGCTTCCCTCGCGTAAGACAATCGATACATCATTCTTCATCCTCTTTTGATGACCCGAATTTGATTGCTGTTTGCTAACGCTATCTATCGTATTGATTTGCTATTGTTGCCAGCTTGTCTCTCAGATTAGCGATAACTTGCGGCTTAGATTTACGATTGAGGTATCCGTAATTAATTGATATATTATCTAGGCGAATGTCAGATGCTTTGTTTTTCCTTTGTCGTTAGTCGGATCAGGTTATGGTACGGTCCGTCCCATCCTCGGCCGCTAGCTATGCTGTAAGCTAAGTAGATCAGGTGGATAAGTACGATCAGATGGATAAGTAAATCAAAATAATGGCCGCATAAGTACGTCGAAATGAGTGCTCTTCTCTTAGGTCCTGGATAACGACGGGGGGACTCAGGAGCAGCTAGGAACTGGTTCATTTACCAAGTGTGTAAGCGTGGTGATGTGATTGTCAGCAGGTGCTCTTGTTATAAGCTAATTAAGAGTGTCGTAATCCGAGGGGCTGGGATATAAACGGCTAAAGCCTTAAGGGGAGCGGGTAAGGAATGGCTAGGATGGCATTGGATAGTCATTCTGTAATATATAGTGTATGATGTATGGTATATAGTACATAATGTGTATGTAATGTGCTCGAAAACCATGTACTAGGTTTCTGTGTGAAAATCGGAGAGTAAGCTACGAGGACAGCTAGCTGCATCGCTGACGGCTTAATCATTGTCGTAACGATTGTGTGATACACTAGCCATAAACGGGCCGGGAGGGAGGGAGCGTTACTAGATAGCTAGCCTAGCTTGGAGATTTCACTGATGAGCATGTTTGGACTAAGCTTTGCGTTAGGAGTTGGGTGTAGTAGTCTGGCTTAGCTTATATTAGATAAAAAGGGTGGCTGGGAGATAAGATACCTAAGGTTGGGCAGTAAGTGGTACGCTAGAAAAGGAGAGTCTTACCCTACATAGCCTACCTAGCTTACCTAGCTCAATTAAAAAGATGGCTGGGGGTACCTGACCTAAGGTTGAGCAGTAGGAAAGAAGTGGTGTCTATCATTGCTCATCTTGAAGCGAATTTGATAAAAATCTGAATAAGTCGATTTTGGTACATCTTTGATTTCTAGCTTATTTCAGATTCCGACCGGCCTACCGCTGCTTCGCTAGAGGTTCTAAAAAGGGCTGGCTGGGCTAGGCTGAAATTTTTCATTTCGCTGCTGATTGCTACGATGATGAACGGGAGAGGCTTTAGAAATGGCGTGACATAAATAAATAGATTTCCTCTTCTACTGGGAAAAATTCAACGCCTCTTGAACTCTTCATAGTACGTATGAGTCTACTCTTTTTCTTTCTTTCATTCAAAAACATCGCTTGAGGCTGCACGAAAGGCTGAAGCTGGTGGCTAACAGGAAACAGGGCCGCAGAAAGGCAAACTGGCGGAGCATATATCCCTTAAGTAGAGTCACAGAGGTTCCTACTTTCGTCTTCGAGACGGGAGAAAAAGTTCGGGTGGATCTAGTCTTGGTGAAAGGGAAAACTCGCGATTCTGAGAGGTGCAAGAATTCCATGCCTTCCACATGAATCCTCTGTCTTTACTTATAGAGCAACCTAATAAATCCTTATGAGCTTTAGATCAAGGGCAAGGTGGTGGCGGCGTTGCTATAGAAGATGTTGAAACCTTGTAAGTTGTCCTGCCGCTGGGCACCACCCCAGGAGATATTTCCGAGCTGATATAGGAGAACGTCTGCTTTTACCGAGCCAGAATAACCAGTTTTGAATTCTCCAATCTGGAAAAGGGTTTGTGGGTGGCAAGAAGACTGTTGACTGTTGGAACTTGATAGTAAGTACACTACGACTTCCACTTCGTCCGAGCTATGAAGAAGTATCTCGGTGATAAATTATGCGGCATACAAGGGACGAGTGCGACAACTCAATCAAAATCTTCACCGACTGGCATCGGGCGAACAATGCGAACGTCCACTGGAGCATGCCGGTTGCCTCGGCCCTTTGGACCAGCTTCACGGCCCCAGATCAAGATATACGGGACAATCCTCGAGCATCCCTCGCCCAGGCTTTCCTCATGGCCTTCATCAAATTCCGCACCTCGCGAACATGTTCCTGCAAAATCTCTTTCCAGCCGGGCCTTTCAATTTCAAATCCCCTAGCTCCGTAGCTTACGCGAGCTTCTCAACTACAGGTATCACACTCGGGAACATGACATGGCTTGAAGGAGTCGGCTAAAATCACTCCCGACTATACAATGCACATCTATGGCATGCAGTACATGAAAAAGGAAGCCACGACGATCGACGGAACTGACTTACATTGACCACAGTGTCGACCCCCACCCGTTGTTCTCGTGACTTCCGGATCAGCTAGATTGGGAGCAGCAACAGCGAAGCAATTCGCAACTTCAGGGTAGAGACCATCTATTCCGGCAAAGAGTGGCGGGCCGTAGAGGTACTGGCCGAGGTGAAGAAGATGTCGCCACCCAGGCCACAAGTGACGCGACGCCAGATTTCCTTGGTGTCAAAGCTGACTTGGGCCAGAAGGCGGAATTCGCTCGTCTGGTTTCCGAAGTCGTGAACGGGATGGGAAGGCTGGATGTTGTGTTCTTAAACGGTGGCTGGACAGCGGTCATGAACCTCAATGATCTTGAAGACAACCCGGACGAGGATGTCTGGGATCGGTGCTGGAACATAAGTATCAAGTCAAACTTGTAGTTGTTTCATGATGCAAAAAAGCACATAGAATAAAGTGAACGTTGTTTCATCACAACGCTTAGTCTTGCTGGTGTAATTCTCAGCGGTAGTTCTATCGTAAATTGCGCCTTGCTCTTTCGCGCTGCCATGATGGCAATGAACACCACCCTCACGGACAAGTCGCTGACTCCAATCCAGGCATACTCCGTAACCAAAGCTGCGCAGCTTCACCTGGCCAAGACGATGACTACAATCTCTGGACCACGCATCAGAATAAACTCCGTTTCCCCAGGAATCCTGCTCGCACTATGTTGGCCGAATAACCCCTGTGTTAGAAGTTGCCTGGGACTGACAGATGCAGGAATGAGGCTGGAAGTTCCCTCGGAAAAAGCTGGATCGCTTCGCAACTGTCGGAGGAAGATGTTGCAGAACACATCTTGTGTTTTGCGCAAGAGCAAGAGTGTGACTGGTGCTAACGCCGCCATTGATGCCGGATGGTCATTCCTTCATTATAGGTTGTAATTTCGGTTGCATTTACAAGTCGTAAGAACGTCCAATCAAAATATTTATAGACCACAAGCATAGATACGACAAATTAATTGCAAATGACAGCCGTAGCAGCAGCACTTCCCACCTCTACGATCAACTAGCTCAGATTCTCAGCCAAGGAGAAGCTTAACACCTTGCTCGTCTCGCGGTGGGACTCCGACCCATTCTCATTGGAGTATCTAAAATTTTCAGCACGCACCAGTAATCGCAGCTTGGTAGCCAGACTTGCGAGGCACACACTAAACAGCAACGGGAAAGAAATCTACGGTCCCCCCTCCCCTCCCAAGTATTTTCACGTGGCGTGGCGGAAAACACCCCTGATCTAGCCCATCTTGAGCTTTCAAGGAAGATGTTACTTTGTTCTCAATCATAAAGACAATGATATTGTGTCAATTGTGTTCTAATGGATTTGATCAGGCGTTCCTACCACAGGCTCGCTTCACTTACATCTGTCAACAAAGAGAATTTTCCGCGGCAGCACTTCTTCTCAGTCTTTGTCTAAAATTGAATTGAACTCAAAAACCAGAATGTCCTTGTTCTAATCTCTTGTATTTCTAGTACAAAGCAAGCATTGAAACAGCTAATTGTTTTTTAAACAAAGTATCTGCATAATCATGTGTTGACAATGTTATTTGTGTAGGGTAGAACAGTCGCTATGGCATTCACCTATATATGCACTCAAATTCCGGCCAGAGAAGCAGTTATATGATCCCAAAAACTTTCTCGGCTTTTACACTCAAGATCTCAGTGATCTTTTAAATCAAGTACAGGTCGATACCTCACCTCGCTCACCTCACCCCAACACATACTTCAAGATGTCTTGCACAGAAGTAAGCACCTTCTGGCGTCTCTGCGGCCACATCGTCCAAGGAACCAGACACGCTCTTCCCTGCAGAGCAGATTTAGAAGCCCGTCAAGGCTTCCCGTGCTGGAACCCGATGCCCAACAAGAAGCGGCCATACTTCATCGTGGGCTACTGCCCACTTTGCAAGGAAGCACTCACAGAGGCAGGAATTGTTTACGAAGACGCGCACATCGTCCACGACGGCGGCTCAAACCTACGCATCATCAACGGCAGCCAGAACCCCCGCCCCCCGGAAGAAGCGGGCAAAATCGCCGTGCACGCACGAGCCGAGGTCGAGGCGTGGGAGAGAGCACACACGACGCGAGCCCAGGCCGCAGAGGAAGCTCGCGCGCTGCAGGCCCTCCGAGACAACCGCGCGATGAACTGGGAGCTGATGCTGACGCGCCTCAACAGCAGTAATGAACCCGACGAGACGCCCTACTGGGGACGATTCTCCAACCGGTGGGACGACGACATCACGCCGCTGTACGCCGAGGCCGCGGGCCCGTTCGACGAGAACTGCGGGATTTGCGACCTGAATCAGGACGGCATGTCCCGGAAGCTACCGTGCGGACACACGTACCATCTCCAGTGCCTCGAGACGTGGTTTCGGACCGGGAACGAGCAGGAGGGGACCTGTCCTGGGTGTCGGCGCCTGTACCGGTTCCTCCTCCACTCGGACTTTGGCGAGCCGGCTTACCGGTGGTTCGGGACGGAGCGGCGCTTCTTCCAAGTGGCTGGGTACACGGATTTCATGGGCGTGGCGGACCGCTGGCCGGCGCAATACAAGCGTGGGATCCGTCCGGATCGGTGGGGTGAGGAATTGAATGTTCTTGACCCTGTGGAAGACCCGCTGCCATCTCGATTCCACGTCCCTGACCCCCCTGAGAACGTGTTCGAAATGGAATGATGCGTGCGAGGTTGATGTCAGGGAAGCCGTAGACAAGGAGCGAGGCTGGCGTGGTGGGTAGGTATCATGCTCGTGCAGTCAGTTCTGCGACGAGCCGCCTCAAGTTAAGTGCCCCTTTCTTTGAAAATCCATCTCTTATCCACTGCACTGTAGCCTCGCTAAGGTAAAAAATCCCGATTCTGAATCAAGCAAACACCATTGACAAAATATCTTTCCCAAAATATCTGTAAATAAACGCAGTAATCTTCCTTGCACTTGTGATTAACAGTATACTACAGATCCTGCACTTCTCCGTAGTCTCCCTGTAAGTCTCTCCCGCCTCTCGCCAGTGACTATAAAAAAATGAGGAAAAGCAACGTGACCCCATGGACCTCAAATTCCCGAGCTCAAAGCCATGTTGCTTTGACTCTTCCATATCTTGACGCCAATGTACGAGGAGAGCTCTAAGGAGATGAAGCCTTGGGCGACTTGACATAAAGAAACATATTTTTCTCCGGGGAACGTAACGTGACTCGGCCCTTCATTCCCCCGTGCCGATCTGCTATTCCTCCGCGGCAAAGTTTCACGGTCACGCGGCTCCTTCAGCCCCTTTTCCTCCTTGACTCCAACAACACAACATCAGCAAACGAATGCGACGGCCGGCCGATGGGAACAGGACGCTCACGCCGCGTCGTCTCTTGTGTTACGGCCGTACGTGGGTATTGCATTACATCAAATCCGGCAGTGAATAACCACAAGTATGGCTTCACTGGCTGGTAAGTGACAAGTATCTCCGAGTATATGTTCATTTCCCCAACCACAAGTCCCAGCTTGCACATTCACATCTGTTTGTATCTATTCATCTCATCCTCTCCTCTCCAACCAACAGCAAGTGCCTGTTGATCGGCTTGCGCCTACCAACCTCGCTCCTTCCTGCATCTTCAAGCCTCGTCTCAGCCTCCCGTATTGTACGGCACAGCAAGAGCAAACAGACAACCAAAAACGAGCTTCTTCAAATACCATAGGCCCCCCCTCGGCCGAAATCTCGTTCTTGATTTCGATATCCAGATAAACTCGATCTTCCAGAAATTTCATCCCCAAACCCAATTTTCGGGCCAAGTCACGCCCCCAAATAGTCAACTCTCTCTTGATATCTTCAAACATCTCTCACCCCTCGCCATGGGCTCTCCAACCTTCCTCGTCGTTGGCGCGACGGGCACTCAAGGCTCCTCTGTAATCAAGGCCCTGATCGCCTCCCCACTCTTCCCAGCAGACGCCCACATCCTCGCCCTCACCCGCAATGCCTCGTCCCCTAAAGCAAAGTCCCTGGCAGCACTCAGCTCCCGCATCATCCCTCTCACCGGCGATCCTACTGCCCCGGAAGCAATCTTTACCTCCGCACCTCACCCCATCACCTCTGTCTTCTGCGTTACCGTCCACGGTCCAGCTGGCGCAGAAGAAGCCCAAGCCGAAGGCCTGATCAACGCTTCCCTCAAGCACGGTGTGACACACTTCGTATTCACGTCCGGGGACCGTGGCGGTGCTGTCAAGTCTGACACCAACCCCACGCCGGTTGCGCATATTGCCACGAAGCATCGTATCGAGCTCTACTTGCGCGGAATGACAGAGGGCACAGCTCTGAAATGGACGATCCTCCGTCCGGTTACATTCATGGACAACCTGACGCCCGACTTCTCAGGCAAAGGCTTTGCAGCCATGTGGCAGCAAGTTGGCAAGAAACCCATCCAACTTGTAGCAGCCTCTGACATCGGTATCTTCGCTGCCAAGGCCCTTCTCAACCCGGAGCAATACCGAGGCAAGAAGATTGGCATTGCCGGCGACGAGCTAAATTTCGAGGAGGCGAAGAAGGTATTCAAAGAGCGCATGGGTTATGAGATGCCGACTACCTTCTGTGTGGTGGGCACGTTGGTTAAGATGGCTTTGGGAGATGTTGGGACTATGTTCAAGTGGTTTGAGAAGGATGGGTTTGCGGTTGATATTGGGGAGGCGAAGAAGGAGTATCCCGAGATTCAGGATTTCGGAACGTGGTTGGAGAAGAGTAGTGGGTTTGTTAAAAAAATCGCTGTGAAGGCTTGAGGAGATGGGACGGGAAACGGGAGCGCTGATTTGGTTTGGTCTGGTCTTCTTTGGTGCCCCTGATACACACGGCGTTCGGATTGCGAGACGTTCTTAGTTTGATGCATAAATGCAGCATCAGCAGCATGCATCATAGATTTTGCGATCCCTTTTCTCGCAGCGAATTACGATTTGCTACGCAGAAGTATAACCTCCTGCCCTCTCTCCTCTTACAATCGAATATCCTGTATGCACCCCGTTTTTGATGTTGCTTTTCTTCCCCTTACATATTCAGCTGTCTTTGCCATACAAAAACACGCCTCTCTGCCTTCTCATGCTATCTATCCACTATTACCTACCCATAGCCCTTATTATACATACGTCGGTGGTCGATGCCATGTCGATGGTAGCTTGATGCATTGCACTACACTGCACTGCACTGCACTGCTGCTATGAGTCCTTCCTGCTTCTTGATATTTCTATTCACAGTTTTTGATAGTCGGAGAATTAATTTATTATCTGCTTGCTGTGCCTGGTTACTAGTTGAAAGGAAACTTGATTGCTGAAAAGAGCTATGCTGTGTTTTCTTGCTTCTTCTTTTCTTCTTTGTCTTCTTCTCGTTTTTTGTCTTTTTTTATAGGGGGGGGGGGGGGGGAGAGGGGGTATCTACATGAACACCATGATAATATTATCCTTTTGTTTCGTTTAGCAAACTGATTTGTATTTGTTGGTTACACAATAGGGTGCACACGTGAGACTTGATACGAATAGCAAGTGGTTGCATTCGTGGTGTTATTAAGTCTGAGGGAGGAAGCTATTCTAGCTGCGAGGTGCAGTTACATGTAGTTGGCTATGCCAAGGGTGCACGCCAAGGGTGCACGCCAAGGGTGCACGGGCCCACCCTTATCCCCGATCGAGTCCTTAACTCCGATCCCCTCATTCCCACAGTATTTCTCTAGGTAGTACCTTTTCATTGTCATCCATCTTCTGCTTTGAAGAGAAGGGAGGGCGACAGCAGATATGACGATCGGGACTCTTTGAAACTTCTTGCGGCAAAAAAAATTGTTTGCTTCGTGGATTGCTTCTGCTAGGTAGGACTAAACTTCTACGACCTTGTTAGAGAATTTTTTAGGGGGCTTGTAGCTTTGACAATATTGCGTGGTTTTACTGCTTCTATTGTGTTTGTAAGGCTTTTTGGTGACGGGATATGCACGAGAGTCATGGTCTTTAGGGGTAAGCAAGATGCCGCTCTAGATCAACTTCCGAAAAATTCGCTGAGGGATTAATTACCGGTGATGATTGCTGTTAGGCTGGGATCTATCACGAGGTTACACGTAGACTATGTGTAACCAAATAATTGACTTAGTTCCCGTCTTGGCACGTACCTGCCTATAAGACATATCTCTTTCTTGTAGATGAGTTTCTCTCTCTCTCTTTCGTCTTTCTCTTTCAGTATAGAGCGTACTCCTTGATACTACTACAATACTATCTTTGACAGCCGTAATATAAAGAAAGGCCAGTTTCAATTCGCTGAGAAGCTTTGTATCAAACACTTCATTTGCTTTTATACGAAATTCCACTTGCCGCTGCAACTCGACTTTTACATATAAACAACCGGCCTCTACTTTTCCTTCAAGTATCTATTGGTACCTTGATCAGACATCTTCGCAGATCACAGTTTTAAAGAAACTAAACCTTCACCGAACATCAAACGCACGCATTCTTACGAACGGAACTGCAAACGGGATTGCAAACGGAGATCCTACAATCAAGCTCTCTCATGAAGAACACTCTCCCTCTCGAAGCGCAAGACTGAGACGCAATCAAAGGCAACGAAAACAACGAAAACAGAATCATAGAGCCGAAGCTGCTGCCAGCTTCTACTTACACACCTTCAACGACCTTGCTTCAATTTCGAACGAGATAGCCGAGGCTCTCGACCCAACTGCTTCCGAGGCTGAAGCCTAATCTGCCTATTTGATCCAAATCTTCTTAGAGAGGTTCAAGGCAATCAACCTCTCCAGAATATTCTTCAGAGCTTCTATCGAATACAAGGAGGAGGACATTATCGACCTTGGCGGAAACAAGGTCAAAAGCAGAGGATATCTCATCGCAAACGGATATACAAATGCGGATCTTTGCACACATACAGAACATAGAGAAAGATCTACGAATTAGGTAATTCAGTTCCGCGTCGATCATTCTCTTAGAGAAGAAGCTAACTGGGTGGTAGAAGTTGTCCTAGAAGTTACTGGCACCCGCTTAGATGACCCCGGGCAAGACCGCGAGACTTGCGAGAGTCGCAGGATCAGAGCGAACGCCGAACGAGAGATTTGCATGCAGCAGAAGGAGGCTCGAAAGGCCGCCGAAGAAGCTGCCTAGGTAGAGGGAGAACGCTGCCTCAACTTCTGTTTCCAAAACTCTATACCTCTGTTGGATATATCGGAACCGTACGCCGCCCCGGTTGAATACAAGCCCGCGGTCAATATCAAGGAGTGGAAGATGATTCAAGACTTCCACTCCACCATGGAAGCCGTCCAGATGGAGCTGTGCACTCGCTGTAACGAGAGGTAGTTTGAGATGAGACTCAGAGTAGTCCGCGGTGAGCTCATCTGTCACGACTAATAACTCCACTTCTTTGATTCCTTGCCCCTTGTTTCCTCGGTTTAGCACTTGCTAATTATTTTTCTTTATTTAGAAATGTCTACCTCATCTTCCGAGTACGCTTCTAACAACGTCATGGTTAACGTCAACCCTTTTAGTAGCGATGGCAACCACGTGATGGGCGAATCCTTTGGTCGCTATAATGACTTCGTAGTGGTCTATTTCAATGGTGCCATTGTCACCTCGATGTTCACTTGCTTCGATAATGAAGATACAGCCTTGTTCCCACGACCAACCGGTATACAATACGAGTACAAAGGTCGTAAAGGTTTTGTTGATGAATTTGGTATCAAGCACTACGGTGCTAATAAAGTAAGTAATAACATTCATATATTATGATTACTAATTGGTTTTTTTACTAATTGATTTTTTATTTAGAACGAGACTGCCCAAGTCCTTTGCCTCTTGGACCACCTTATTACTTTCATCAATCAAATTGGGAAGCAACATACCCATAAGGACGTAAAGATTAGATTGATCATTAGAGATCCTACTCTCGAGGTCTTTGATAGCGCCCATCCAGAAGCCAAAAAGATCTTAGAAAAGCTATTGCGCCCTTACCCTTTCACGACCGATGGGACCTCGGTGTACGGACGCTTGAAGCTCCCTGTACTACCCGAGGAAGTCAATGTTATCATTTTAAAGCCCAAGTGCTCTGACCAGGATCCCCGGATTGCTGAAAAACTCAACAAGCAATGCCGAGTACGCCGCCATTTGGGTCTTATTTCAGCTCCGTCCAAAAGTTCGAGATGAACATAGGTCCTCGGTCGAACCCAATAGAGTCAGAATTGCCAAAACATCGTACCCAATGGGCCAAAACAGATCTGCGAGTCCATCTGCTGTTTTTCTCTTGAAGCAAGGAATTAGACTTATCCTTCATTTTGTCTTGGAGGACCATGTCATAAAGCAAGCATTGGAAATGGGGCACCGCGAATCGATTCGTGATTTCTTGAGGACGATAAAGCCAGTCACATGGATATCGGTTGGCTATGTTCGATTAGTACGCAGTCAAATTGAGTTGGACAACCCGACTGTGATACTTATCACAGGCCACAGAGCCTAAATACATTTCATCTGCACACAGTTTGAATAGGAAGATGACTGGCACCGAGATGGCAGAAGAAGTACGCCTTTACTATGCCGTTACGTTCTGTCGTCATATACTGATAGTATTTAGTCTCCAGCCGTAAGCCTATTACTGCAGATGATTCACTTCACCTTCTTCACGAAGTCTTATCTAGCATGGCTGCCAACCCGATTACAGCGGCCAAGCGTGCGGCGGCAGCAGCTGCACGAAAACCCTTTGCTCGTCTTGACTACTCCAAGCAAACGTCTCAAGTCGATGCCTCTGCCATTTCAAGCTGTGGCCGAAGAGTATCTCACCGCGGTGGTCTAGGCTCAGAGAGTAGTGGACCTCACCAAGGCAGCGTGCATCAAGTAAGTCCTTAACCGTATATCAACCGATTCAGACTAATATGTTCCAGAGCCGAAACAAGCAATACCCAACTGGTACGTTATCCCGGACACAACAGCGTACCATTGAGTCATTTCTACAGGGAATAACACAGAGCAGTACAGTCAATGTTGATCCATCATGTAGGGGTATACACTGGATCGGTATGTGGACAAGCACTGACAACAGTACGATAGTTTCAGCCACGCTATTGCAACCACACGTATCAAATGCCATAGCACACCTTCGCCAAATAACAGAGCGCGCTATTAGAGTGCATTCATCTGAGCATTTTCCTCCAGGAGACAAGGGATCACCAACCATCTCAACACCCAAGGTCAACGTTCAGCTCCATGGAAGGTTCTCTATGCCACTCGTTGATTCACTGGTAGACGCCGGGCTGCTAATAGAATCAAATGCGTCGTGGGCAAACATGGTATTATCTGAAACTCAACCTATATTCGTGGTCGCAGACTCGAAGGGTATACGAGAGTGTAAGCTCACTCACAATTCATGTGCAATTCTTGAGGAATCGTGCCCACCTCACGTTGGTATATCAAGTCCACAAGCCAAAGCACAAAGCTATTCGTTTCGTTCGCGTGGTATAATGACTGGCAATGGTACCGGTCCATCGATCACGATACATAGATCAGGAACGCTACAGTACCAAGGCAAACCAGAGAACGCATATACTGTGGGCAAGTGTTTTAAAGAGTGCATTGAGTCCATTTGCCGGGGCTTTTATAATGGATGGGTTTATCATCTTCGGTCACCCCTTCCTCAGCCTAACTTCCAGCACCGTCTTTCCACTGGACCCGCTCCCAAACTGGAACCTTCAAAACCTTCGGCATCGGACCCTACCACCTACCTTCCACATCTCGCTTAAACAGCTCGATAGCAGTCCTCTTTACCGCAGCCTGAACCTCGATCCTAAAGACAAGCGTCATAATAGCGACAGGGTGCTGATTTGTCGTTCCATTTCTACGGACCTCACAGCCAGCAGGACCGGAATAGACGTCCCGGGCACTTGCACACTGTCCGTTTCAACAATATAGCGTTTGGTTTTCAAACTATCGCTACAGTTGTCCGTTCCTTCACGCTTTAAGCTTCTTAAAAAAGATATTGTTTTCGAAGATCTTTTAATCGAACCCTTTCGGACTCTCATCTTTTACATCTTTCCAAAACCGGTCTTACTGACTCACTTCTTCATATCGAATCACCATTGCTCCGATATACTTTCGGTATTTCAACCCAAACATCTTTCAACAGACTTCTTAAGCGTCAAATTTACGCAAACATCAAGATGTCTAAGCAGCTAAAGAAAAGCCACAGTGTCCCGGTACGTATCTTCTTACTTTCTCCTCCTCCTCTTCCTCTTTCTCCTCCTTCTCCTCCTCCCCCTCCAAACCCAACCAACCCACCACCTTTTTTAACCCCCCTCTCTCTCATAGAACACCATCTTCGGCCACCCTATCACTAGCCTAACCTCCCGCACCGTCTTTCGCTAGACGCGTTCCTGAACTCGCAATTTCAAGACCTTCGGCACCAACCCTTCTACCTTCTACCTCTCCCTTTAAAAACTCGATTTTAGCTCGCGTTATCGTGGGTCGAATTTAGATCCGGAGGATAAGCGGAGGAATAGCGATGGGGTGTAAATTTTGGATCTGCTAGAGCCGAAATTAAAGAATAAGTTGAGGGGGATCAGGACGAAAGCATATGAGGGGATAAATTCGAAGGAGGGTTTGGTAGAGGGGGGGGGAGGCCCCCTCCTCCTCCAGCTCCAGCTCCAGCTCCAGCCATCAACGAAACTATACAATCCCGCTGAATAGTTTCCAACAACGAAGGCAAGGAGACCATGGAAAACTCACCGCCTTTGGCAAGAACTTCGACATCTGGTCCGAGAACTTCCTCAAATACATCGCTATCGTCAACCACTTTCACGAGGCAATCTCTCCCGGCCTGCTCCAGGCGCTGGTTACTTTCTACCTCCGAATCATAAAGCTCAGAATAATCTATGAGTAGCAAGGCGCCATTCTCGAGCTTGCAATTACCTTCCACACCGATCGGGCCACTTCCGATATTGGCAAGTGTTAACGAAAGGGATACCAACACCAACACCATCAATCCTACTACCTGCATCACTATCATCAGAATCGATACGAATCTTAGGCGAGCACGAAGGATCTTTTAAGAAGAATACAATGCGTGTTTTCATCGGGCACGAAAGATCTTCCAAAAGAAATCCGATGCGTGTTTCCATCGAGCACGGAAGGTCTTCAGAGAGTTAATTCACCGGACACTCCAGCGGAGCGGGAAACGATCCGAAAGATCTTCCCAACAATGCGACAGATGGGAGGGTACCGACATCCGTACCGTGCCCAGTAACCCTTGCTGGTCTGCTATTGTGGCTCACGGATAAGCAAGCTAAGCCTAAAGCGTCCCTAGCAATATAGAGAGCCGTTCTCTACACTGAGTTCTCCCCTTTGCTATGTATGATATGGATGTTGACAAGAGGAACGATGAACAAGCGCACTTACAATTCGAGAGATAGCGTCTAACGTGAGCTCTGAGACATTCTCTAGAAGAACTCGCGCTTCAGGAGTTAAGGTGCGGGGCGAAGCGCTGGCACATTTCTGCTTCTATGATTACCTTGCGCAGATCCATTTCCAAAAAAAGTTGGAAAGGCAAATCTCGGCGAGATCACCCTTACTACTTCAGGTTTCGGCTCCGATCATCCTTTGGATAAGACACACATGCAGGTTACTCATAGCAATGCGGATTCGTTGTTCACGGTATGCATCAAAGGTGAGTTCTCTATTAGCGAGTCTTCGTAAAGGAGGTTCAGCTTTCTTTGAGACTATGATCAGCGGAGAAAGTTGGTCTTGCAGATGGGGGTATCGAACCCTGGTAGGGAAGCACGTTAGCCAGAGATACACCGAACTGGGAGACATATGCAGCCGCGTTCCCCGAGAACGTTAGGTACGGTTGCTATCACCGCCACCGGTTCGCTTCTCGGCAACGCTGATCCTATAGCTGTAGTTTGAGGTGGTTTGGAGGCAGTAGATTGCGATTGCAGTTCAGAGAGCTCATAGATGAAGCCCAGAACGTGCTCTACAAGACCGAGGAGTTACTCGAAGGATGGGGCATACTTGTGAAGGTATCCAAGGCTGTGCTGGCGGAAAAGCAGCACTTGATGGATAGCAGAGGTCAACGCGGTTGATATTGGCAGCCTGATGGCCAGATTCGATATGAATGAGAGGCGTGAGGAGTCGCCTAATCGGTATGGGAGCAGGAGCAATTACGAACCTTCTGGTATGGATGTTGATGACGAGAGGGCGTTTGAAGCCTCAAATCCCGTCCACCACGATCGCGGGAATGGCTCCCGAGCAGACTGAAAAAAAAACCGGGGAGGAGATCAAGGTTGCAAACACCCCGTTTTCCAGCGCGTCTGATCACTCCGAATAATGGATCAGTATTCGTAGCAAAATGGAGGAGGGCGGGGTTGCGATTGTACCGACTTTCCGTATCGCTTAATCGTCGGAGACTGAAAGGATGAAAGGAGGCCCACCTAAGCGAGCCGACGATTAATCGCGGGAGTGGGCAGGTCGAATCTCACACAAAAGCGAACGAAGTACCCAATACAATACCAAGCTTAGCTTCCCAGCAAATCATAATGTCGGTGCACAGGCATACCGGTATGAGAAGTACGAATGTATGGTGGTACCAATTGTATTCGTGAAGTCTGAGGTTCTAGTACAAAGCTCTGAAGGAGCCTTATACTCTAGTGCCAAGGCCGGCTACCTAGCGTAGCCACTTAGCGTAGCCACGTAACCACGTGACCTACATTCCCACACATAATTACTCTTTCTGTTTCATCTCAGTGCAACGCATACGCCTTCATAGTAATCCAATAATCACTATCCTCTATATCTCGGCTTTAACAGCCCCAACCATCAACCCCCCTATCTATCTATTTTCTACAGCAACAGTCGACTTCGCTCGCAGCAAAAATCCTCACCTTCACGCTCTCTGCCGTAACCTTGCCGTAACCTTGCCGTGACACAGACATACCAAATCCACCAGCGAACATAATACACACTACATACTCCAACCTGAAAAACATGCAGATTCCCTCCCTTCCCTTTCCCTACAAGAACGTTAAAGGATTTAGGTAAGGCCAAGGCCAATAGCTGTCTCCCTATGCCATCTACAGGAAAAAGTGGCTTAAGTGGCTTCATTGATACAAGTGGATAAAATACGTCTTTATTTGAGCAGCAGGAAAATATTGTTTGTTCATATACTTCGAATATCTGCGTGAAAAAAAAAGGGGGGGTTCTCTCGAAAAAACGGTTGCAAGAATGACGCGGGCTGCTGGAATGTATACATATATGTGAGCAGAGCACATGGGGGGCTGGCTTGGGAAGCGGGTGTAAGCTGGCGTCCCAGATCCTTTTTCAGCCGAACCGCAGAGTATCGGGGCCTCCTAGCAGCTTTGTACAGGAGAGGCGTTAGGTCGAGTAGAGCTGGTTAGCATACGCGGAAACAGAAAAGAAAATGAGAGCGTGAAAGGTTAACAGGATGAAAGATAGCAAAATATGGGCACAGAAATAGCGCACCGGATCATATGTATATACGCCCACCCCACCTTTATATGCTTCAAACACCCGGCTCTGCTGTTACTCGGGTCTAAACACTCACGAAATCACATCTTCCAGCACCGCATCCTCATGCGGCTCCCGTTCCACCAACTTCTCCGGCACGCAAAGCCAGCTACAGCCCCTCCGCATCAGCGGCACCATACTCTCCACGACATCTCTATCATTCTCCACCCCCCTCAACGCCTCACCCGGCGCCGAAAATTCTTTAAATTCCAGCTTCGAAATTTTCCACCACTCAATCCATTCCGTGCGCGCCAGCACAAAGTTGCGCTTGCAAACAGTGCATTGACTGCCACCAGACTCCTTCTTCGCGGCAGCATCGGCTAGGAGATTGTGCAGGTATGGTGGACTGTCTTCCGGGAGAAAATCTTTGAGGTAAGGGAGCTGTGGTGTTTTGGAGCAGGCAGCGAGAGAGACTTCGATGAGGGATGGAGCGCGGGAGGGTTCGCTGCCGCGAGATATTGGTGGTCTGGGAACGTCTTCGATGTCCGCGATAGGGATTGAGTGTGTGACAGATTGCGAAGTTTCATCTTCGCTGTTAGGGAGGATGGGACCTTTGAGGAGCTTGCCTGTGATATCCAGGTATCTGATATCGGTACGTGCTCGGAATTCGGCCTTCCAATTTTTGTTCCAGTGTGTCCCGAGAAATTGTGTGACATATACAGCAGTACTTTGGAGCGGGTGCTTCCGTACACGGTTCCCAAGACCAATCTTTTTTTGTAGATGTTCCTCCACGTCTGGAGCCCTCGTATTTGGAAGCTGTGGTTCATAGAAGCAATTCGGGTGGAGAATGAGAGTGTTCAAGTCGCAGTCATATTTGAGAAGATCCAGAATTTCATATGGGAGATATCGAAGGCCATTTTGCGAGAGGTTGAGCTCGTGTAGATTCTTGAGCTTACCGATCCCTGGGGGCAGTTCGCCAAGCTCGTTATTGCGTACGGTCAAGGCGACAAGACGCTCGAGATTGAAAAGCTCCCCGGGAAGTGTTGTCAGATTATTTGAAGACAGAAATAGCTTGAGTTTCGGCTCGAGTTTGTGCGAGCCGTCGACAACTCCGCGTGCGATACGTGTGAACGTTGCCAGGGGTCTTATTGTGGCATTAGATAGTGTTTTCAAAGAAATTGATCTATGGTCCATCAGCTTCGCAGATAAAGTAGTTGAGTGTATTGTACGTACGATAAATCAATGTGCTCGTTCCCTTCTTCTAAGCACAGCTCAACCTGCCTCCTGGCGTCTTCCTCTCCATCCTGTTTCCTCGCGGCCAGGCTCTGGCCAGCCAGTCTCTCGGGCAACGAAAATGGTGTCTCAGCGATTCCAGCCTCCATCGCCTCGTCCATATCTGTCCCATCACTTCCCATAAACACGCCGCTATCGAATTGTCTCTCGAACGGTCTCTTCGTCCTCTTGGGCTCGGTTTCAGTTATTTCCTGTGATTCTGCTTCTGGTTCCGGCTTCTGCGAAAACCATGGTCCACGGAACTTCCTCTTCCTCCGTTCCTGTGTATAGTTGTCTACTGATGGCTCATCAAAGTCGTCGGAGAACAGCGGATCACTGGAAACGGGAGGGCTGCTAAGACGTACGCGTTTCCGCGGGGCACCCTGGGTAAAGGACCCTGTGGCAGCATCATATGAGAGTTTGGGTAGCGGAAGATCTTCTGTCATGATTTTCTGGCAGTGAAGTCCCAGGCAGCAAGATGGAGTCAATTGAGAGGAATGAGTGTTGAAGTAAATGGTGCGAAGTTGGGAAATTGGGGAGTGAGGCTCGACCTGTTCCGGGTATCTATCAAAGCGCGACAGTAGCCTCGTGCCAAGAGTGGGCCTTCGTGGCGCCTTCGTGGCTCACGCCAAGTATTCCGGGGCCCAATCCAATCCAAGTCAATCCAATTCATGCTTTCTTCAGCATGCTCTTCGGAGTTCCGAGAGACCGGGAGATTTTTGAAAACGCAATCGATATTCGCTCTTTGACTTGGCTATTTATAGAAAATGCCAGTGGTATCGGCCATGTTTGAGCGCTTGGCATTTATGATTTATCGAGCGATAACTATGATAGAGGCTCGTTCGATATCAATCTGCGTAAGTAACGAAGATGAAATGTCTCGGTTTTGCTAGGGTTCCTGCTCATGACGCGAGTATATCTCGCCGTCGCGGGCATGGTTTGCTTGCAGCTTCAACGCCTGTGTTATCGGTTCCCACCATCGGCAGCAGGATAAGTTTTTGGGCACAGCTCGCGAGCAGGTAGCGTCCATCCTCTTACCCGCGGTGCTTTCTTAACATGCACTGAATGCTTGAGAAGCGGCTTTCCTCATGTAAGATATCCTTGCATCTGTAAGTGCCTTTCGGCCATGGATTTAAAAACGAAGTTTCCAAGACTCACCAGAGGCTCGTAGCTCTCTCCGAGACACCCTAACTCCGTTGCAAAATCATCAATTAATCCCAGTCATCGTCACTGTCCACTGTTTCTTGTTTTCCGCCGGACCGGATTCCACCCTTCTCCCTCTTCTCCTCCTCCAAATCTTCCTTATCTCTCCTCCGCCTCAAAATCCTCACGTCATTGTCCCTTACGGCCCCGATATCGATCAGCAGCTGGTCAATCTCTGCCATCCCTATCTTGACCCCTCCCAGCGTCATCAGCGTCACAATCTGCTTGACAATATCGCCTTGGTTATAAACCAAGATTGTGGGACAGTTCTTGTCCGGGTATCCTTCAATCGCCAGGTCGCCTCTCATCTCGCAGAACTTGATCTCGCCATACTCTTTCGCCGCTTGTCGCCATAGCTCTGTAAGTACCCTCGATTCGACATTCGTGCCGAGCCCACTTGTCAAGTTCACAAGCACCGCCCCGTTCTTGCTCGCTTCGGTGACCTCTCGGATGAAGTCTGGTTTCGAGATGGGATAGACGGCGCCGTGGAGAGCCGCCTTGGCTATGAAAGAGAGCTCTTGGACTCGTTGCTGGCGGTATTTCTCCAAGAAAGACTCATCTTCTAGATCTTCAAGTTCATCGAGCTCATCGAGATCTTTGCCTTCGAGGCGGTTCTCGTGTGCTAGTCGGCGGCCTTCGAGGATAGCTTCTTCTATAAAAGGTGTGGGAGAGGGAGGCTTCTCGGGGATGATCTTGTGCTTGCGTAGAATGTCATTCCTGAGTTATTTAGAAGGGTATATGAGCGTTAGAATGAACACAAAATACCATTCTGTATCTGCATTCGGATCGTCTATTGGGACAGCAATACGCTCTTCTTTTGGTGCAGCCATCGTTGTTGTTAGGTTATTGTACTGGTCGCATGTTCCAGCTTCGGCGAGGGACATTCGGACTTTCACCCCTCCAAGTAGGGTTGCTGATGCCAAGAAATTGACACTTGGTCACGTGGTCATGCTTCGCTAACTTTTTGGTTTCGCACTAGCCGCACATTCTGAATTCGCCTCGATTCAGCCGCCTCTTCAAATCTTCGACATCGACAACGACTGACCCTCGCGCTCTACGTCTACCATACAACTCAATCCGACGAAAGACCCGTCAGTCACTCAAAAACACCAACAACTCGATCGCAAATCGTCAAGATGGTAAGGACCTCCCTTCCCCTCTCGAAAATTTGACGACACGGTGGTGAAGGCGATTTGGCACACGACCTGCGGGTGGCGACCCCGAAAGTGAATCCATCGCGAAGGACCAAGGGCTGCAGATGGACGGGGAATCTGGATAAGGAAAGAGAGGGTGCACCGGGTTTTCATGATGGATTCAGAAATACAGACACTGACGTGATGCTGCCTGAATAGGTTCTCGCCGTCGATCTTCTCAACCCAACTCCAGCCGCGGAGGCCCGCAAGCACAAGCTTAAGGTACGAAAAAATCTAGACACTTCAAGCTGGATACAGCGAAGGCCAGGCTCAACAGAGATGGAAGCTGACTTGCCCCGTAGAACCTTGTCCCTGCTCCCCGCTCCTTCTTCATGGACGTCAAGTGCCCTGGATGCTTCACCATCACCACCGTCTTCTCCCACGCACAAACAGTCGTCATCTGCGCTGGCTGCTCGACCGTCCTGTGCCAACCAACCGGAGGCAAGGCCCGTCTTACGGAGGGCTGCTCTTTCCGGAGAAAGTAGATCCAGTCCTCCGTTGGCCTTCTCTTCCGTGTTTTCACCCTTCGGTATCCGCTCGTTGGCTGTGCATCTGGTTTTCATCGGGAGAGTGTAGACGGGATTGGGACTCTACTCGGCTCCTCGATACTTCCTTGCGTCATTCAATTTGACGGATAGAAGATGGATGTGGGAACCTATCAAAACTTCCTCTGAGCAATAGCACAAAATCAAGGGCGTTTACGGGCACAACTTCCGGATATCTTGCACTAAATTTTTCTGCCGACTCTTTTTTTCTTTTTGCGTCCTTGCTCCTCGTGCGTGTGAACGTGGGAGGCATGATTTCTCGCGTGTTGGTTGTCTCGAATATGCGAATGGTATTGCATGGGAGGAGCTGAAATGGCGATATCATGAGTGTTTAGATGGCGTTTACCTTCAGGGGTATGCGGGTCTTTGACACGAGGACCTGGTGACGCTTGTTGAGGATTGCTACACCCAGTGCGGGCTTGTGCATACAGAAATAAGTTTGTCCACGAAGTACTGTCTGTTTATTTTCAACGTGATGTGGTGCTGACGTGAAGTGAGGTCTTGATTCATCTCGAGCACCAGCAAGGCGCAACAGCAAGGCTGCGATTTGAAGATGGCCTCCACACCTCCTGATAGTTTCCCAATAGTTTTGAGATACTCTGAATGGTTACGGCTCCGTCTTATAGTAAGTAGTAATATTCGAGTGTCATCTGTGTCAGTCTGCTCTGGAGCTATCCCATGCAACGCCAAGTTTCAAACTCTCGACTCGGAGGAGCAAACAATGTTTGCTCCAAGTCTCCTACCCTCGCAACTCACAGTCAAAGTAGTTCCTAGACCTCCATCATACACTTTATTCCCCCCCCCCTCCCCGCCAACCACGCCCCCCTTACTTGCTGAAGTCTCCAAGAGGTATTCTCCGCGTTATTATTTCCTTTTATGGCTGCGCTAACTTAATTTTGCGAAAGATAAAGATACTTTTTGATTCTGCCAATGGTAAAAAGTGGAGGTTCCTCTGAGAAGATAAATATGTGTGCCATGCCGCTGTTACCATTGTGTTATGAGAGAGAGGAGAAGCTAAATCGGGGGAGGGGGGACCTTTTGCCGTTGAAAGCTCCTCTGGAAACTGAATGTGTGTGCCACGCCGATGCCACCATTGTGTTATGAGAGAGAAGAAAGCCAAATGGGGGCGGGGGTGTGACATTTTGCCGTTGAAGGGGGCCTTGGTTATATATAGATATGTATGGATATTGCGCACCAGGTTTCGAGAGTTGGGGAGTTGACTTGTAGCGAGTGTGTATGGCTCGCAGTTGCACGTCCGTGCAACTAGGCAGTTGAGTTGATCCTAAACAGAATCAATTCAACTTGACATTGGAAGTTGCACGTTCTAAGGCTTATATGGCTCGCAACTAGCAAATGGAATAGTAATTTGCAATTCAAGACTTAGGAAACAAAATTAATCTGTTACTTTAACTACTCATTTATCTTTCGTAATAAACGTAAGATTAATAACGCTACCTAATCCTGTCGGTCCCTTCAAACTCGAGGTTTCTTTATCACGAAGGCTCCTCTTCTCTTTCTTGAGTCTAAGCCTGCCCCACCCCCCCCTCCTCCCG